CCTAGGCTTCACACCAACTGTAGAAAGAATTCTTTCTTCATTTCTTAGAAAAACTTTTCAATGCCTACTTGTGTGCCAACAGCAGCACTTCATCTTGAAGCCGGGTGATCCTCAGTTGAATGTTTAGCTTGGAAGTGGACCCTAAGATGTTTCCTGAGACTTAACAATGTAGGGCCAGAGGCTGGTTATATTTATCTATTATAAAGAGACGCTTATACCAGCAAACTCTGTAAATCAGTAAAGGAAAAGCTACAGAGATTAGGTCTGACGCAAGACTTTCTTTCCACCCTCAACTGGTTTAAGGCAAATCAGATCCTTGCACAATGAATTGAAGATATTGATCTGCAACACTCGGTATCAAGTGCATGTACCACTTGTTCCCCAATCAGCTTAAAGCTATCTTTCAATAAAGGCGGTGCAAACTATTTGGAATGGTTAACAATTCCAAAACATAGGCTGGCATTTAGCAAGGGATGATTCAATGTAATTCCCTCCGCTATGTTAGAGAGACATTTTGTTCAAACAGAGTACAAGGATCATGTATGCCCATGTGGAGAGGACCTTGTAGAAATGCTGTCTCATGTGCTTCTTCACTGATCCTTCTATAGAGATGATAGATTAAAAGTAATCTCACCTTTGCTGAACAGTAAATCAGGTAGATCTTCTGATTGGTATTTAAAATTCTTATTAGCTGATAAAGATAAGGGAATCATCAAGGAAGTTGCGAAGTTTATTCTGTCTGCTATTAAAATCCGAAAAATTATATGTCATAAGAAAATAACTTTGTAAGAAGAGGAAAATCTGGTTTCCCTAATGATAAACTTAAGTCATACTTCTCTATAGGAGCCGATTTAAATTTGTTTTATATAACCCCCCCTCTTTTATCTGAGACCATTTTTATAATTGTAATATTTTACTTTCTGTGGCAACCCAAATGTTTTACGTGTTGTAAACTTTTTCCTTGTTTTTGTTTTTGTTTTATGTATGCCTATGGTCTATTGACTACAATAAAGGTTATATGGTTGGATGGATGGCTTAAGGTGTAGTATGGAAGGAGGTCAATGGGGTGTGTGTGACACCATGAGTTAGGGTCTTTGCAGACTGCCAGAAATAGTGCAAATTGAGTCCACTTTAACTGCCCTGACTCAGTGCTAGGGAATCATGGGAAGAGCTCTCTGACAGTCTCAGAAAAAAATACAATTCCCATGATTCCCTAGCACTGAACCAGGACAGTTAAAGTGGACTCAATTTGCACTATTTCTGGCAGTCTGCAAAGGCCCTTAGTTAGCACACTGGGTGATACCAACCCTAGTGACACCACTGGATTTTGAAAATATGTCTCTGAAATTATTGGGACTTGAACATTGGTATGGGGGGGAGCATCCAATTCATTTTTGAGCCCAATTCAGTAATTTCAAACCAGGTCCAGTTCAGACAAGATTGATACACTTCCAGCAAAGTCTAAACTAGATCCTGAATCCATACACAGTGTGCCCTTTTTATAGGCTAGGGTTTGGTTCCAGGATACACATCATGGATACCAAAACTGGTGGATGCACAAGTCCCATTATGAACAATGGCATATCAAAATGGTGTCCCTCATATAATTTTTTTTAAAAAATCAAGGTTAGCTTTTTGGAATTAATAATTTGTTTTAGAATATTTTCAAGCCTGGGATGGTTGAATCTGTGGATGCAGAATCTACGGATAGCATAAAAGTATCATCATCATCATCATCATTAGGATTCAGGTTTCTGGATCATCAACCCTCTCTGATTAATTTATATTAGGAAAACAAAAATGGCTTAAACTTTATTTTTAATTTTACTAGTCCACATAAAATATGGTAAGAGGGTAGTTCCTAAAGCCGGCGTTAATCCAACCAAATTTCAGAGAAATAACCCCATGTCTTTTTGTGCTTGGCATCTGTAAAACTGGATATTTAACAAGAAAGAAACCCTCCTCAATTTTTACACACTATTGGCTGCTAATCATATTGCTTTTTTCTGATGCTGCACCCCAAGAAAATCAAGCAGGCTAAGGGTGCATCTATACTGTAGAAATATTACAGCCTGACAACACTTTAACTGCCATGGCTCCATTCTACAGTCCTGGGGTTTGTAGTTTGGTGAGGCACCAGCATTTCAAAGCAAAAGGCCTTGTAAAACTACAAATTCCAGGATTCCCTAGGATGGAGCTACAGTACTTAAAGTGGCATCAAACTGCATTACTTCTACAGTGGCATCAAACTGCATTACTTCTAAACCAAGCCCTATGAGGAACGAATTAGGGAGCTGGGGATGTTTAGCC